GAGGACTCCGGGACCCCCCAGAGGCCTCCAACACACCCCAGACCCATGATACGAGGCCCGCAGAATAACCCAAAAGAGCTTCGACAGCCGTCCCGAGAGAGCCCGAGGAGGGTAAAAACGTTGATTTTCATTTGTTTTTGTCTGCGCTTTTTCGCCTTCTCACGTTTTCTGGCTTCCAACGCTCCAAGACGGAGGAATTTGAAAATAAGAACAATTCAACAAATGCGCGCCCCCTCCTCCCAGGGGTCCCACACCTTCTCGGAACATCTGCGGAACGCTCGCGGTACTGCGCTTCCCGACCTCCCGGGGAGCCCCCCAAAACGCCCAAGGACAGCCCAAGACGACCCCAAGAAGCCCCCAGAACGTCAAAGAAAGGCCCAAGGCGCTCCCAGGCAACCCAGGATAGCTTTCGGGCGGCTCTCCAGGCTCCCAGGAGGCCTCCAAAAGACCCCAAGAGAGCTCCGAGAGGCCTCCCGAGAGCGCCCGGAGAACTTAAAATTGTTAATTTTCATTTTTTTCCAGGGTTCTTGGCCTTCTCACCACTTCATGCTTCCAACGCTCCAAGACGGCCGAAGAGGCCCCCAAGACCGCCCCGAGACCGCCCAAGAGGCCCCAAGACGGGCCAAGACAGCCCCAGGACTGCCGAAGAGGCGCCCAGGACAGCTCCAGACCACCCCAGCACAGGCCCAAGATGAGCCCAAGAGCGGGAGCAGGAGGCCTCCAGAGACCTCCGAGAGGACTCCGGGACCCCCCAGAGGCCTCCAACACACCCCAGACCCCTGAGAGGCTCCCAAAAAAGCTCCGACAAGGCCCCCCAAACAGCCCAAGAGGGCTTCGAGAGCCGTCCCGAGAGAGCCTGAAGAGGGTAAAAAAGTTGCTTTCATTTGTTTTTGTCGACGCTTTTCGCCTTCTCACGTTTTCCCGCTTCCAACGCTCCAAGACCGAGGAATTTGAGAAGAAAAAGGAATTCCAGAGATTCCTGTTTTTTCAAGTTGGGACTCCTACTCCCTATCTTCTTCCTCAAGCCCCATCAGTACTTCGGGGTCACATGAAAAAATGTTTCGGGAATGCTGTTGAACTCTCTGACGCTGTCGTGGCACTCTCTGGGATCGTCTTCGTGTCCTCTTGGCTGCCCCTGAAACAATTGTAGAAATCGAGATCCCATGATCCCATGAGTTCAAGCAGTGGAATTTCAGAATTCCTTTTTAAACACCCCCTCCTTATTTTTGTACGAAGACCCCGAGAGACAACCGTGGCCTGCATGCAGAAAACGTCTAACCCACAGCCCAGGCACTACTACTTGAAAAAGAGGGGAATACCACCATTTCGTTTTTGTTCCAAGTTCGCTCCCCTGTCTCTTCACAACAGACTACATTGAAGGCCCCAGAAAAGAACCCAGGAAGCCTTCGATGGCCCCAAAAGGTTGAATACCTAACGGCAATTAATGTTTTTCTGCGTTTCCGCAGTTCCCCTTCTGTACGATTCCGAGGCTTGCGCAGGGCTTCCAAGAGAGCACCTGGATGCAAGAAACGACAAGGCTGATATTCCAGGCGTTCGTCCATCAAGCCTAGCTAGAACTTGAGCGCGCGTGAAGCGCGCGATGGTTCTAGTATGTGTGTGTGTGTTTGTACCTCTTCCTGCTTTCCGTTCTCGTCCATGCCATCGCCGTTCTGCTGCATGGCCAACCGATTGTAGGCTAGTCGTCGATCCGTCATCATCAGTATCGGTGGATCAGTGGCATGCGGTTTGGCTCTGTGGATCCTTGCTGCATGCCCGCGCCAGGAATGCAAATAGCATGAATGCGGCCCCCCACCTGCCCCAAAACGGCACAGCACCCGCTCAAGAGGCACCAAGAAGTGTTGCAGAGGGTCCCGAGATGGGGCAAACAAAGTCAAAGCAGAGGCACTACAGGACGGGGATAGCCCAAGTGCGAGCATTCCCGCGATGGGCCCAAGCCCCGTCCGAGTTGCGTCCGTTCTGGGGGCGGATAAGGATTTGTTTGGGCTTCGTTTTTGGGCCCAGAGCCTAAGTTGGACGCAGGGTCGCCAAGAAATTTAGACTAGAGTATTTCCACAACTGCGTCCAGAAAAACACATGCAGAAATATGCTTTCGACGAGCCCCAGAGGCAGCTGCAACAGGCGCCCAGGCGACCCGCGGACAAGCGTAGATCATCGAGAGCGGTGAAGATTTGCTATTCTTGTGAAGTTCTGGATGTCTCGTCGGCGAAGACCCAGTCACGGTCAAGGTCAAGCTCATCACTCTACTCTTGGATTTGCGTTGGGTCCCCCTGGCGGTGCCTCCGGCGCCGCCCCTGGCGCGCTTTGCGCGCCAGGAGGGGGTTCCAGCAGAGATCCAAGAAGTCCGCGCGGACCTCCAACAGTTTATTTTTTCATACTTTGCCTTTGCTCTAGAGAGAGGACAGGGGCTGTTTTTGTTGGCGTCTTCTGCCTGCGGGGGCCCACTCGCCAAGAGGGCCCCTCCACCTGCTCTGTGCGAGAGGGCCCGTTCCCGTGTGACTCTCGGCTCAGGGCCCCCAGATCGTTGGGACGTCGCTCGGGCAACACTCGAGGTCGCCTGGGGGCGCTCGGCCAATATCTCAGGCTTGTCTCTCACCGCCCACAAAACCACCCCAACCCAACCCGAAGGCCCCAATATGCCCTCCACTCCTACTGGGCGGGGGGGGGGGCGTCGGGGAACATTGAACACCCACATGTGGAACCTGTACCCCCCCCTCCCAGCCCGAAATCTGGGCCTTCGGGTTAGATGCGTGTGGTCTTGGGTAGGCAGTCTGTCTTGTCGTGCCTCCAAGAGACGGCCCAGACAGACTCAAGGAGGAGGAGGAAGAGGAGGAGGAGGAGAAAGCGGAGGATGATGATGAGGAGGAGGAGGAGGAGGAGGGGGAGGAGGGGGAGGAGGAGGAGGAGGAGGAGGAGGAGGAGGAGGAGGAGGAGGACGAGGACGAGGACGAGGAGGAGGAGGAGAGGAGGAGGAGGAGGAGGAGGAGGAGGAGGAGGAGGAGGAGGAGGAGGAGGGAGGAGGAGGAGGAGAGGAGGAGGAGGAAGAGGAGAAGGCGGAGGAGGAGGAGGAGGAGGAGGAGGAAAGAGGAGGAGAAAGAGGAGGAGGAGGAGGAGAAAGAGGAGGAGAAATAGGAGGAGGAGGAGGAGGAGGAGGAGGAGGAGGAGGAGGAGGAGGAGGAGGAGGAGGAGGAGGAGGAGGAGACAGAGGAGGAGGCGGAGGAGGAGGAGGAGGAGGAGGAGGAGGAGGAGACAGAGGAGGAGGGGGTGGAGGGCGGAGGAGGAGGAGGAGGAGGAGGAGGAGGAGGAAGAGGAGGAGGATGCCCCCGCGCAGGTCCTGCGCACGGGGCCCCCTGCACGGTTGGGTGCGCGGGGGGCCCCCGAGGCCGCGCGGCGCTCCCGCCCTGGGCCCTCTCGGGGGATCGCCAGGGGGTGCGCCCGGCCTCCCCATCGTGGCGGCGCCTCTCGGCCAGCATCGGCCCCCGGGAGCACGACGGCTCCGTGCAGCTGAAGCACACCACCCACCAGACCACCCCAACCCAACCCGAAGGCCCCAATTTGCTCTCCATTTCCAGTGGGGGGGGGGCCGGGGCACATTCGAAAAAACGCATGGAACCCGTACCCCCCCCCAACCCGAAATTCGGGTCAAGTTCGGGTCTTGGGGCTAGGTTGGGGTGGTCTGGTGGGTAGTCAGAAACACTCGCAGAATGTATTTTTTGGGCTTTTGTACGAAGTCAGTTCCGCCAAGTGCCTTGATAGCATAATACCGCAGGCGCCGATCCTGGAATGCCAGGTGCGAACACGTGACTCGCAGAGCTGCCCCAAGAGCGAAGCGGCGAGGCTCGAGAACAATTCCGCCACGTGTCTTGATAGCATAATACCGCAGGCGCCGATCTTAGAAGGCCAGGTGCGACGAATCACTCGTCGCAGAGCTGCCCCAAGAACGAAGCGGCGAGGCTTGAGGATAGTTCCGGCGCCGCCCCCAGGCGCGCGCGGCGAGGGCGCAGGCCTCGGGGCCGCGGCCCCCCGCGAGGGAGGCCCCCGCAGCCGCGGGGCTCGCCGGGTTCGCCGCGTGCGGGGGCCGGGTCTCTGGCAAGAGAGAGAGGCACTCGAGGTCGCCGGGGGCGTCCACGGGCTCTGCGCCGCCATGCTGTGCTGCACTCCCAGGCCTCCTCGAGGCATGAAAAAATCACGACGGGAGGTTTTTCGTTATTGTCGGCGTCTGAGGGCCCTTACAGGGCCTCGGGGCCGTCAAAGAACGACTCGGGATGAAAAACTGGTCCCGGGGAATGGGTCTGGACCTCTGGGGGTCGCGTCATGAAAAATTCATGACGTCGGGGGTCTGGGCTGTGCGATGCTGGGGCAGAGTATGCAGTGCTACTCAGTGCTTCACGTGTTTCGTCCGAGTCCGGGGCTGTTGCTAGTTTTTCTGCCGTCCGGGCTTTGTGTTTGTCTTCGATCGAGCGCGCGGTTGTCACGATGGCTCCCTTGAAGGGCAGCGGATTCCTCCTTCTCCTCTGCCTCTTTGCCCTTGAAAATTATTCAGTGTTGTGATGGCATCTGTGGTGCAATGTGACGTTGCGTGTGGTATGTTCTCAATGATTTGTGGTGCTACGCGCTGCCGTGCTACACCAGGCTATCCCATGTGATCCCACACCAAGCTGTGAGACGCAATGCTACGCAATGCTGTTCCACCGCGGCGAAAGCAGCGCAGCGTGAGTGAAGTCCCAGCTGTGCAGTGCTATGGGCTACTCAGGTGCACACAGCTGCGACATGCCTTTTTTACGCCATCATTTGCGATGCTATGCTATGCGATGCGGTAGAGGCTCAGGCAGCCATGACATGCTAGGCGGGGCAGCGCCTTGTCTTCCATTCCAGTAATTCGCATCGCGTTGAACTGCATCGCATTGCAGTGCCTGTCCGTGATGCTCCACAGGGTGTTCTCAAGTCGTAATCAGCGCCATCATCCTCCTCATCATCCCTTTCATGATCCGTATCCGCAGTTGACTCAAGGTGGCGAGTCTGTTGAAGCAGCGCGCAACGAACGTGTGCCCAACCAGGCACAATAATGATGCAGCGATCTTCGCCAGGGATGCAATCGCCAGGGATGCAACGCCAGCCAGCTAACATGGCCGTTGGTGGAGGGGGCGCCACCTTCTACAACGTCGGCATGCAGCTCTCTGAGGAGTTGGTGAACCAGCTTACTGTCGAGCACGCCACTGAAACGAAGGCGCTCTACAAGCAGATCACGGCGATGCGGGAGGAGTTGGGCCGCTGCGGCGAGCTCATGCAGGGTTTCGTCGACCGGGAGAAGGCGATTACGGAGATGATGCAGCAGCTCCAGCAGGCATACGAGCAGACGTCGTCGAGCCTCGCAGACATGCACGGCAAGTTCGGGGACATGACGAACCACGGCATGGCCAAGCCAGACCCCGTGAAGGACTCGGAGGTTGAGATCCAGAGGATCGGCCGCCTCCTCAGCTCGCCCGCCGTGCCGCCGCCGTCGGTGCCTCCGCACCTACAGCAGCTCGTGAAGAGCCCCATCCAGCAGCGCTGAAGAGCCCGACGCCCAGCCGCCGAAGGACTACGGCTGCCCGTCGGCTCCACCCGCCCGTGCCGCCATTGGCAGGCCGCGACGGCTGTTGAAGAGCCCCGTCGGCAAGCGCTGACGCCGAGCCGCATCTGCGCCCGTGTAGTATGCTCGATTTCTGCGTTTCCTCCTAATCCGCATTTTCTTCCTCCTGCTCATCCCCACCGACTCCTTGGTCCTCGGTCCTCCTCCTCTTTGTCGTCCTCCTGCTATGTATCTGTCCCCTCCCCTTCCTCCCCCTCCTCGGCTACTCCTGACCCCCGTCTGCATCCGACCTTCCGCTCATCCCGCTCTCTCTGCCCGTCTCGTTCTTGTCTTCCTCGTCGTCCTCCTCTCCAGCCTTGTCATCCCTCTGCGTCTTTCCCTCCTCCCGTCGTCTCCCGGGTGTCTTCCTCTCTCGCGCCCTCCTGCCCCCCCAACTGCCCGCGCCACCCAGCCCCTCCATCTCCACGACGTGAGGTGGCGCAGAATCGGTCAAGACACGGCTATGCACGACATCGCCGTGGTGTCAGCAGGCGCTCTCTGCCGATCTTCTCGTGTGACACTCCGAGTGGACGCTGCATTCGTCACGCTCTGAGTCGTGCGCACTGCCGAGAGAATCCATACTCTCATTGCGCCGCAGCGTTATCGCCAATCATTTTCATCATTACCCCCTTTTGTTTCGTCGTCGTCTCCACCATCACCGTCATCGATTGCGCGAGCCGGTGTGGGTTCAGCTTGACTCTAGGAATTTGGCTTCGTGATTGTGCATCCCTCTGGACGCCGCGGGACGGGAAGAACGATTTCTATATATTTCGCGCGCCTGTCTCACACCAACGCGTTGATTTCGAATGGCCCTTGTCGATATCCAGCTGCCTACGGCAAGTCCTCCCACCGTGCCTGGGTTGTGGGTTGTAAGCCTAGTGGATGTTCGTTAGGATCTCGTGGGAGGCTTCTCGGGGGCCTCCTGGGGGCCTCTGGGGGGGCCTCTTGGGGCCTCTTGGGGCCTCCTGGGGGCCCCTTGGGGCGGAAGGCTCGGATTTTCAGTTTGTGTTCTCTCTCTGGGGCCTCTTTGGAGTCCGTCTTGGGGCCCTCTTGGGCCGTCAAGGGCGCCTCTTGGGCCGTCTTGGGGCGCTCTTAGGCCGTCTTGGGACCCTCTTAGAGGCCTCTTGGACCGTTTTGGGGTGGTCTTGGGGGCCTCTTGGGCCGTCTTGGAGCGTCGAAGAGCCGAAAAGGCGAGAACGCCAAATCCATCAACAACTCAAGGATCATCGAAGATTTTTGCCTTTGGGGGCCATCTTGAGAGTTCTTGGAAGCCTCCAGGGGCGCCTTGGAAGCTCCTTGCGCCATCTTGAGGCCACCTTGGGCGTATTCGAGCGATCGTTCGGCGGCTCGGGGCCCTCGTCGACCGTCTTGGGGGCCTCCTGGGCCGTCATGGGAGCCCTGGGGAGCCCCCGGGTGGCGCCATGGCCGCCCAGGGACCCCCCTGTGAGTAGGGGTGGCGCAGGCGGCTGGGTGCTTCCCGCGGAGGGGGGGGGGTACTATAGAAGACTACATTACCCCAATGCGACCCTACCTAGAAGTTGGAGCCCCTAGGAAAACAGCATCAGTTGCTATGCTATGCTATGCTATGCCATGCTATGCTGCGTTATGCGATGCTATGATATGCTATGTTATGCTGCGCTATGCTATGCTATGCTATGCTATGATATGATATGATAAGCTCTGACAAGCTATGCTCTGTCATGCTGCGCTGTGCTATGCTAAGCTATGCTATGTTATGCTATGCTATGCTATGCTATGCTGCGCTCTGCTATGCTATGCTGGGCTATGCTATGATATGCTATGCTGCGCTATGCTACGCTATGCTATGCTATGATGTGCTCTGCTATGCTAAAGCTCAGCGAAGATAAGATGAAGATAAGCGAAGCTAAGATAAACCTGAGCTAAGATGAAGCTAGGCAAAGCTAATATTAACTAAGCTAAGCTAAGATGAGATAAGCAACGCTAAGCTAAGGGGGCGTAACTGGGGGAACCGCGGGGCGGATACAGGGGGAACCGCCCGGGGCGCTTTCCACTGCCCGGCCCCTTTAAGCCCAGAGAGTAAGAACCCCCCTTCTAGGCAGTGCCTAGGTAGGGAAAAAACTTGCCAGACAACCCTTGGCAACATTCCACGCCGCAACGTGCTGCAGGCACGGTGGCGGATCACAGTGGGGACGGCTGCACGCCATTTCGTATCCCACGATGTTATCTTGTTGTTGCTGGTGGGGCTCCCAGAGAAGGTCGTGGAGATGCTGGAGGAGGAGGGTGACGAGGAGGAGAAGCATAATACCTTTTCGTCCCCTTCTCCATGTCTGTGTCTCCCCCCCTGCCCCCGCCCGAGGCTCCCTTCCTCCAGCCTTCGCCCTTCATTGCTGCTCCACCCATGCCCCGATCCACCCCGGTCATGCCTTCCCCCCCCCCCTGGCCCGTCCGCTTTCCCATTCCGTCCGCTCATCGCGCAAAGTGCTTGCTCCTCGACCCAACCCACCTCTTCCAACACTGCCGGCCCTCTCTCCTCTTCCTCCTGCCCCTCCCGACCCCTTCGCGTCCCCTCCCCGCTCGTCCCCTCCCCTGCCACCCTGCCCCGTCCCAAAGAGTATAGCCTCGCAGCAACAATTCGGGAACGGAGCTCAACACAGTCTTAAATGTTTGGGGGGTCATCTCAATTTCAGGGTTAAGAGTTCGTCCCTGGCCAAGAGACTGTCTGCACCCTGCCAGGCGAGACATCTCAACATGATGAGGGGGGCTAGTTGGTTGGCTTGTCAGTAGGTTGGCTGGTTGGTCAGGTGGATGGCTGGACGGTTGGTTGGTTGGTCGTTTGGTTGGCTTGCTGGTTGATTGGCTGGTTTGCTGGTTGGCTGGTTGATTGGCTCACTGGTTGGATGGCGGGTTGGATGCCTGGTTGTCTGGTTGGTTGGTTATTTGGCTGGCCAGCTGCTTGGTTCATCGGTCGGTTGAGTCGTTCGTCGTTTGGTGTTGGCAACCGAGGTGCCCAAGATCATGACCCATCCCAGGGCCCAGAACCCGTGCAGCAGGCAGAGGGAAAGCATCCCCTCTCAAAGCTCCAGACAAGGGGAACTACACAGACCTCCCTCGGGATTCGCATGAGAACCTTTGCGATTACAAGAGGAGAAACAAGAACGTCGCTTAGAATCCGTTTGAGTCCCTGTGGCAGGAGGCAGGAGGAAGTAAACACATCTCTCTGGGAGTCGTCCGTACGACCCTCTATAGCAGGCAGGAGGGAAGACGCAAATCTCGTTGACAACCCCAGTGAGAAACCTTGGGTGGCGATATACCAATCTCCCTTAGGATCCGCGTAATACCCCCTGTGGCAAGCACGAGGGGACAAGTCAATCTCGACCAACATCTTTACGCGTGAAAGATAGACAAGTCTCCAGTGCGAACCCCTGTAGCAGGCAGGAGGGAAGGCGCAAATATCGTTGACAGCCCCAGTGAGAAACCTTGGGTGGCAATCTACCAATCTCTCCTAGGACCCGCGTAAGACCCCCTGTGGCAAGCACGAGGGAGCACGTCAATCTCGGCTAAACTCTCTACACATGAAAGACAGACAAGTCTCCAGTGCGAGCCACTGTGGCAGGCCGGGGGGATCAACAGAGCTGCCCGAGAACTCCTGTGATAACCCCCTCGTGGCAAGCAGTGGCACCGACATGAGCAGCATTCCTGCAGGCTTCGAGCGCACCCTCTGGCGTCAAGCAGTCGGGATCAAGCACGATTCGTTTAGGGTCCACCCCTGCGGAAGGCAGGGGGCAGCAGACACATCACGCTTAAAGCCCCTTCGTGGAGAGGGTACGTGCACCGCCCTTGGAGCATTTCGTGCGAGCCTCTGGGGCGGGCAGGGGGGAATTCACGATTACGCTGGAGCAGGCAGGGAGGACATAAACAGCTGTCCCTCAAGACTCGCGTGAGGATCCGCTGCGGCACTCGAGCCTGCCCCTCGGCTGCGTTCAGGCTGAGGCCCCCCAGGGCACCGAGATTGAAGCTTGAGCCAAAATGGCCACGGACCATTTTTTCTTCCGCTCCCTTCTCCCCCCTCCTCCCTCCTGCCCCTCCCTGACGAGGCCGGAGAGGAGCGGTGATGCTCGCAGGTTGTCTGTCGCCATCCCACCTCATCTTCCCGAACGGCCGCCGCTGTGGTCCTTCCACGCTCTGCAGGTCCCTCTCCCGTGCTCTGGCTCTTCGCCGCCGTGCCGTGGCGACGGGAGGAGCGGCAGGTACCGTCGAGAGCGACAGCAGGGACGAGCCCGCCTCGGAGATCCGGATCACCATGAGCTTCCTGGAGATCTATAACGAGGACGCGTTCTTCCCTTGAGCGGACCCGGCGTATCGATGGGCATCGACGTGGAAGGCGGAGAGAGATGGGTCGTGATTGCACACCGTGGTCGCTGTTCGATTCACCGTGTGCCACGCGCATTGGCGTTGAACGGGCTGGCTGGCTCTTAATTGGGAGCGCGCCGTGGATCGGACTATATCGGGGTGTTGCTTCCAAGATAAGGAAGAGATGGTGCCATTTTGTCGTTGCCCACGCAGCATGACCGAGGGAACCCAGCGGCCATCAGGGTTCCTGGCCAAACTTCATTGCGGTCGATTCGATGATCATTCAATGCGCTTTCAGGGTGTCCAGCTCCTTCGGCGCGTCGTCGAGTGACGTAGCAGAAACTTGCCATATTGATCGCAACCGCAAACTCGAGTCACCCTCATCTTGCTGATCCCCCTGCGGCCTCTCCGTCTAACTACTCCTTTCCGTACTCCACCTCTAATGTCCCCCTATCCAGTCCTTCCTCCCCCCCTCCTGTTTTTGTCCTGCCTCGTTCTGCTATCTGGTGGCATTCCTCCCTCGAGGAGCTGAAGGACCTTCTCGACCCCAGGCCGAAGCAGAAGAAGCTCTATGTACATCAGCATCCCAAACTAGGCGTCTACGTGCCGCATCTCACGGAGGCTTCCACGCGGGCTCGCACAGGAGGGAACGAAAAGGTGGAAGGAAGGGGAGAGGAAGGGGAGGTCGAAGATGGGAAGAGGAGTGGGAGGCAGTTCGAGGAGCAGAATGATAGGGAGAAGGATGATGAGTAGGATGTGGGTGGCACTTGACATTTGTCCACTTGTCTTAGACGCTGCTGCGCGAAGGGGGTGGAACAGAACGGGCTCTCTAAACCCCCTCCGCCCAGAGGGCTGGTGGGACTACGGTTTTGTCTTCTTCGGACCTTGTTCGAGGTCCTTGTGCATGTTGGGCCCTCTTGGACGCATTTTGGGCCGTCATGAATCAATACTCGGCCGCCTTGGGGTGGGTCATCTTGGGTTGTCCTCGAGGCCTCCTGGGCCATCTTGGTGTCCGTGGTTGCCTTCACGGGCCGCCTTGGAAGCTCGGGACGATTTTTCCATCGTTGTTAACGAGGGATCGTGGCTTGGGAGGCCCTGGAGTTGTTGGGAGCAGCGCCTGGGAATGCGAGACGTGTACCATCCTCGAGCAGGTGCGCGTGGAACAAGGGCTCTAGGAGTTATGAGCCATGCGGGAAGTGCACAGTCCTCGAGCGGGCGCGCATGGAATGAGGATTCAGGCATTAGCTGCCAAGCAGGAAGTGCACAGTCCTCGAGCGG